TCCTCTTCAGGCTGCTGCAGGAGACAAAGGCTTCTGCAGGGGTTAAAGCCTGAGCTCCTGTTCCTTCCTGCTTTTGGGCCTTCAGGAGGCACATTCCAGGCTCAGTGCAGGGTCTGTGCTGTGCTGGCAGCCTAGAGGGAGAGATCCCTCCCTGCCCAGCTCTGGCTGTGACATGCAGGGAGCATCTCTGTGTGTGGGGAGCATCCCTCTGTGGGGTGTTCATCCCTCTGTGCAGGGAGCATCCCTCTGTGCATCCCTCTGTGCATCCCTCTGTGCTGTGTGCATCTCTCTGTAGGGTGTTCATCCCTCTGTGCAGCCTGCATCCCTCTGTGCATCCCTCTGTGCATCCCTCTGTGCAGTGTTCATCCCTCTGTGCATCCCTTTGTGGGGTGTTCATCCCTCTGTGCAGCGTGCCAGGGGCTTGGAGGGAGGGCAGGAAGGCAGAGAAAACAAATGCAGGACTGTGGGAAGTGGGATTTGATGGAGTGATTAAGTCTGCAGTCCAGCTGGCAGACACAGCAGCTGTTGCTATTACAGCCCTGATAGCATTTCATTTATTTAAAAACCCGATCTGAAAGCTTTAATATCTGATCCATTTTAAATCGCTTCGTTTGAAGGTTGCAGCAGGGGGGATCATCCAGTAAAGAACATGGAATTAAAGACAGACAAGTCTTAGACGTCACTTTATGAGACAAAGCTTCTTAAACTTTTCCATTTAAGATTGGATGTCCCTAATTTTCTAGTGCTGCAATAGAAGGCAGACCAGAATCCTGGAGACTTGACAAAGGCTCCTTTTTGCTAACAGAAGGCAGGTGGAGAGCAATTTCATCACCCAAAAATGATTTCCATTAATGAAGTGAGTGCCCTCACTGACACTGTCCCTTTCTGAGCCATCATGTTAAATAGAAAAATGGACAGTTGCCAAGAAAGTTTAAGAATGAAGTCTCAGGAATTTAAGATGATGGAGACACAGAGCAGGCAAGGAGAGAATTTAATCAGTGTTGTGTCTGGTGCCCCATGTGTGGAGATGACACATGTGAGCTCTGACTCCACGTTCAGGAAGTCAGTTTATTATATTATGATATATATTATATTAAAATACTACATTAAAACTATACTAAAAGAATAGAAAGAAAAGATTAATCAGAAAGCTAGGAAAAAACAAGAATAAAATAAATAACAAAATCTTGTGACTCTCAGAGAGTCTGAGCCAGCCGCATCTGTGATTGGCTTTTAATTAAAAACAACTAATATGCACCAATCACAGCTGCACCTGCTGTATTCTACAGCAGCAGATATTTATTATTTACATTTCTTTCCTGAGGCCCTCAGCTCCTCTGAAGGGAAAAATCCTAGCAAGGGATTTTTCATAAAATATCATAACTACACATCAGGAACTGCAAAGGAAAGCTTGGGGAGGTTGAGTAAGTGCTGGGCTTTCCCTGCTGTCTGTAGATGTGGGCCACAGGCTTCACATCCCTCAGGAGATCACTGTGCCACCCCTCTGTGATTCAGCTGGGAAGCAAAACTGCTCCAGTTTGGTGCCTGAGCTCAGTCACACACAGCCCTGGAGCCAGCAGCACGAGGAACTGCACTCCCCGAGCTGGGTTACAATCCTGCTGGAGCCTGGTGGGAGGAGATGACTCACTGTTTGTTCTGCAGGGCTACAAGGAGACACCTTGAAGCAGAAAATGGCTTTGGAGTGCCAGCTTGCCTCCCAGAGCAGATGGCTGGGCTAGGCTGAGGTTAAAGATGTTCATTATAAATCCATCATCAAACTAGGGCACGATGGACAGTGATGACAGACAGTGACACCTTCTGTGCCACTCAGGGCTGCAGTGGAGCTCTGGGGAGCTGCTCAGATTCTTTCACAGAGCAGAGAGCCCTGGATCCCGAGCACAGCTGGAAAAGCTCTGTGGCTTCTGCACTCTCTAAATAATGCTGCCTACCACTCTAAATAAAATTAGGATTCGACCCCACAAACGCAGGTAACTCCCATGCACTCAGATCACCAGGACAAAAGAGCCACACAGAGTTATTGTCCTTCTTTTTGTATGAGAATGTAGAGAACAAACACTCCCACCCCACAGCTGCAGCGTTCCCACTGCCCAGGCAGTTTCCTCATCAGGAAACCAGGGCAGAACAGCAGTGAAGGGGATGGAGCTGCACCACTCCTTACCAGATGGGATCCAAAATCATTTAACAGTGAAATCAGGATTGAAGCCAGCTGCAATTTCTTTTGTCACAACATACTCAGGTCAAACAGAAAGCAATTCCCTACTTTGGTGCACTCACAGTCTCTCACCCCACCCAGTACTCTGTGGTGGATAATCTGCATCCCATACCCCAAACCTCAGGGAATCAGCCTGGATGGGATACTTTCCTCAAAAACAATAACCAGCTTCTCAGCCTGATGACTTCTGTTCCCTCAAGGAATAATAAAAATTAAACATTAAGTCTGTAGTCACTTCCCTGCCATCCAGTGTAATATTATTGAATTTATGGTTCAAATACTTTCTGCTTTCATTTATAACCCTATATTGTGGGGTTTATATTAATTTGATTGCTAAAAAAGCCATTCTGGACTGAAAAATCCCTAAAGCAGCTTTTTTCTCCAATTTTTGTTTTAAAGAGAACTCTGCCCACACAGGTTCTTCCCACAGCTGAAAGACAAGTCCAGTTTTTGTCACTTCTCTATATGCCAGGCTGAATTTCAGCTGTCAATGTGCAATGGGTCACTCTCTACTCCTTGTCTGAGGTAGGCAAGCACTGTGGTCCTCTGTAGGATCCTCCAGAATCACCCCTTTGACATATCCCAGTGCATTTTTGTGCTGCTGTAAAACCTGACCCATTAATGTTCATGTCTGAGCAGGAGCTGCCTCAGGAAGATGGTGGCTCACTGGGGATGAAATGCTGGGTTTGGACAGTTGTTTTAGCTGATCTTTATTTTAATATTTTGTGGATTAGGGCTTTTTAAAACCCGTGTGCACACTTCTAAAAGTCAGACTGTCTCAATGACATCATGCAGATTTGCCTTTTTGCCCAGGTTTTGGATCCTCACACATACCAAGCTCGAGCATTTCATCAAGGAGACATATCTGCAGGCAATGTGGCAGCTGCTTCCTGGCTCCTGGAGCCTGCAAGGCTTTATTTGGGTCATGCAGAGTGTCTTTCCTTCCCCTTGAAGCAGGTAAAATGTCTGCTTGCTTCTGACAGTGAGAGAGAGCACCATGAAAGTGAAGCTATTTTAGAAGGGAAATTGTAAATGAAGAACTTTGCACAGTACATTTCTAATCACCTACAGGCAGTGCTGCTGGAGTGAAGGGAAGCTAAATTCAGCTCTCACTTGGCACCACTGAAACTGCTCTGATCCTAATGTGGGTCACTGCAGCCCGAGCAGGGAGTGCAGGCTCATCCCATCCCAGCCATGGAAATATCCCTGCACAGGAACACTCCCCAAAACTGGAGAGGGGATTTGTGGCATTCACATTCTCTGAAAAAATCCCTTCACCCAGGATTTTTCTCCTGGGAAGCTGAGAAGCCTCAGAGAAAAGGAAAACAATTCTTATCTCATTTGCTTCTCCTGTGTTGTGCTCATGTGGAATGTGTTCGCAGATTGTTCACCCACAGGTGATTGTTTCATTGCATTCTGCTGTGAGTTGTTTTCACTCTTTGGCCAATCAGTGCCAGGCTGTGTCAGCCTGGAAATAGTCACTCTGGAAATAGTCACAAGTTTCATTATTATCTTTTTAGCATTCAGTAAGTATCCTTTCTGTATTCTTTAGTATAGTATAGTATTTTTTAAATATAATATAGTATTATGAAATAATAAATTAGCCTTCTGAGAACACGGAGTCAGATTCATCATTCCTTCCTTCACCAGGGCACCCTGCAAACACAATAGGGATTAGCTCTGTGTTACACCTTTGTGGAGCTAAAACTGCAAGTCCAGTACATCTATTGATAATAAAACTGGCTTTCAAAGTTTTGCAGGGGATCATTATGGTGATCACTAGTTCTGGCAATATTCCAGCAGGAGAGTGTTTTGCTCTCAAGATTCTGTAAAATTAGGAAAATCCCGCTTAGAACTAAATCTAAGTTCTGTCTCACTTACTAGCAATCAGAATTATGCAAAATCAATATTAATAGTTGGCAACTGCTAGTGCTTACAATGTATCAATATTACGTACTGGAGGTGTTCAATAGTTCTGAAATGTACATTACTTATAGGGAAAAACAGAATTTAAAAATATCATTAAACTTTCTGATCCAGAAAAAACCCTAGACTGCAAAATCACTTTGGTGTGATGGAGTATCCAGAATAGCAGCTTCCCAAATAAAGCTTTGCCAAGCCCTGCTCTCCAGCTTGTGTTGTGTGGGTGTCAGCTTGGTGTGCTCCTCGCTGCTCGGGGGGTGCCACGTCCCAAACAGAACCAGAGCTTGCAGGGCTTTGTGTTGGGTTCAGCAAAAAGCTACAAACTATAAACAAATTTACATTTCCACCGCAGTAGGGTGAACCTGCAAGTGAGAGCAGAGCCCAGTCAAAACAGCTGAGTTTGGGACATGACCTGTGCAAAATTCCTGAGCCTTCCAGGCTGATGACACAAAGCCATGAATTCATTACCAAGGGCAGGGCAGATGTTTGCTGAAACATCCACTCCTGGGAAGTTTAGTAGGACAAATCATTTTGCTAAGGGGTTGTGAGTTTTGAGTCCATAATAAGTGTGACCCAGTTTCCTGCTCCATGACTGAACAATTTGCACGGCTCTAAATATAAAACTGTTGATAACAGATCCGTATTTGTGGGGAAGGTAGGTGGCTGAGGAGCTGCACTGGCAACATGTGTTTCCAACCAAAAAACCTCCCTTAGAAAAGGTGAATCAGGCACAGTTTTTATCCTTTTTCATTCCCACATACAAATAAACATCAAATCCCAGGTTGAAATTATAAATATATTTGTGTTGTTAATAATCATGGCACTACACAGTGAAAATCATGTCATTTCATTTTTCTTGAAGGAATTGTATCAGAATAAGACAGTATTGATACAGAATAGCCTCTCACTCTCCTGCTTAATTCTGTCTCAGTGTTGTTTTCAGAAGTAATAATCCCACCAATGCAAGCAGTGAGTGCATTGGATAATCTGAAACTCTTCCCTGCTGGCTGGGACCTCAGCGTGGGGCACACCCAGAGCGAGCCCTGTCAGCCCAGGGAGCAACTGCAGAGCTGCCAGGGCAGCCCCACTGCCCCAGGATGGACGGACAGGGCTGATCCCAGGACAGACGGACAGAGCTGATCCCATAGACAGTCCCCAGGACAGCTGGACAGGGCAGATCCCCAGGATCTGGACAGGACAGTCGGACAGGGCTGATCACAGGACAGATGGACAGGGCAGATCTCAGGGACAGCTGGTCAGGGCAGGTCCCAGGGACAGCCAGACAGGGCAGACCCCACGGACAGCCCCCAGGACAGATGGACAGGGCAGATCCCAAGGACAGGTGGACGGGACAGCCCCCAGGACAGTCAGACAGGGTAGATCCCAAGGACAGCCAGACAGGGCTGATCCCCAGGACAGTCGGACAGGGCAGACAGACAGGACTGATCCCAGGGACAGCCCCCAGGACAGTCGGACAGGGCAGATCCCAAGGACAGGTGGACAGGACAGTCCCCAGGACAGCTGGACAGGGCAGATCCCAGGACAGCCCCCAGGACAGACAGACAGGGCAGATCCCAGGACAGCCCTGGGGCACAGCTCTGCCCCTGCAGCCCCAAAGCTCTTCAGGGGATCAGGGCTGGTGTGGTGGTCACGCTGTAGGTAGCTGAGGCACGGACAGACTGTGGTTCACTGAAGGTTTTCCAGCTGATCCCTGCTGGCTGGGATCCCCAGGATGCTGAGGAAGGCTGGACTCTGGCACCCCAGCCACTCAGGGTGACTCCCTCCCACTGAGCAAGGCAGTATTTTGAACAAAGAGTGCTTTTCAAAAGAAATAATAGCATTTACAGTAGTTAAACAAATGCTACTTTTTATCAGCTCTAATTACTTTATAATAGCATACAGTCCTTAGCTTGCTTATTACTATGTTGTTCATTAATTTAAGCCCTCACAGCTACTCTAGATAACAATTTAAATACACAGAGCTTTAAAAAAATATTTCCATTTCAAATATTTTAAAAATATACTTATCCTAAAAAGCTGTCCAGCACTATTCCAAAAATCTCTTGTAATAAATGTCTTTTTAAATTTTAACAAAAATATCTACCATCATATAGAAGAGCTCAAGTTTTGACAAATCTATAATACAGTCAGAAATATGTTGGGCCAGATTTCACTTTTGTTTACACAGTTGCCAATTTGGATCATGGTCTTCATCTCATTTGGGTTATTCCAGTATAACCAGGAGCAGAATATAGCCCTTAGTGCTTTAAAATAGCTAAATGGACTGGATGCTGCAACAGTTACTGGTGCCAAGCCTTATGGGGAGGGAAATCCTTTACTTCACTGCATCTAAAATTGCAAAAGGATGTTAAATTTAGTATTTGTGCCATGACCAAAGAAGTGCCAGGCATCTGCAGTGGATGACTCAGATCCAGAATCATATTCACTTACAGAAATAATTTTTTTTTTTTGCTGAATGGTGCCTGCAATTGCTGTCATTAAATGGAGGATGAATGTTTCTGGAGAACTTTTGTAGGGGGGAAATGCCAACCTTCCTCTCATGCTTTCTACAATTCTAGGAATCATTTTAGTTGCATTTTGTGTGAGTTTTAATAGAATCTCCCAGTACTTAGATCTAGGAAGGATACTATTTTGAATTTCTTCTGTATTTTCAACCTGAAATAGGTCCATTCATCCAGTCATTTTCAAAGTGTATCTAGAACAAGTTTCAAGCACTTATGAAAACCTGCATTTCATCAGGACAGTCTGGAAACTCATCTTTTAAAACACTGGAAATTTTTTTTTTGGCTTTCCCCCCCTTTTTCCTTCAATCTTCAAGCTTAAATGCAGTGTTTGGTTAAGGACCATGGAAATCAACCTGGTGTGATTGCAGCAGGGTACATGTGCAAGAAGAGGTGACAGTCCCAGGTCTGCCATTCCTGCCTGTGACCAGCAGTGGCTAGAGGAGATCCTTACACATTGTGAGCTTATGTTTAAAGCTTTCACTCTACTTTTTTTTTCACTCATTGACTTTGGCTGATGATCTGGTAACTGATAAACCCAGGAAACTTAAGGATTTCGACTGAGTTCAGTCCTCACAGTCATCTTCGTCTTCATCATCATCCTTGCTGGGAGCACACCTTTGGAAGCAGTGCACCAGGGTGGCCAGGAAGAAGCTGGAGAGAATCGCAGCGATGGACACGGCGACTCCAGAGAAGATGATGATGAAAAGGTCTGTCAATGACAAACTGAATTTGCATTCACTGAAGCTGACCTCAGATAACTCGTTCAGAAAGATCCTCCTGTTTTCCACGGGCAGGGAACACTGGATTTCATGGAGACCTGCAAGGAAGAGGAAAGGGAAACAAATCAGCTGAATATTGATGAGTTCTTCTGTTCTTCTGGGTCAGAGATTGAATGGCTGAAGAAAAGTTTTAGGGTTAATTCCAGGTTTACAAAATTGTACAATATTCAGGGAAAAATGGAACAAAACCTGTCACTATCCAAAAGCCATTACATAGCCCCTTTGAGCAGCTCCTGGAAATTAAATTATTTCATCTGCAGCCTTCCAGGGATCAGGTGTGATCTAGAACCATGATTTGAAGGAATTAAAAAAGTGAATGTTGAACCCCTGAACCTGGAGACCTGAAAGCAATTCCCAACTGTTCCATCTGAACACAAAGTGACTCCAAAACAGGGTAAGAGGGATACTGAAGTTCCTTCCACACCCTTCTACATTACTTTTTTCCATGTAGTTCCAAACTAGAGTCGTTTTATTTTTCTGGTCAAACAAGAGTTTGGGTTTAATGGATGCTTGTTTGTCTGTGACCTGCTTCTCCTTTTCTCTCTGTCTGCCCTGAGGCCATGCAGACTGACAGATATTGTTCCTCCCTGCATTACTGGAGAATGCCAAGAGCTGGGTTCTTTGTAGTGAAAGCAAAAACCCCCAATTTAAGAAGGGGTGAGAATACAGCTGGATCCTGGATGGTAAAAGCACACAGTTCACTGCATGTGCCCAGCTCCCTCTTCATGGAGGACATCAGGAGAGGGATTTCCAGGGCTAGAATGGAGCCCATACTGAAGTGAATAAAGTCTGTAGAGCTGCTGGCAAGGCAGTGTTTGTCTCACTATTAAGGACATGAATGTGAAGGGGAAATGCAAGAATTGTGTGTATGAATGTAAAGGGAAAATGCAAGAATTGTGTGTTAATGATTCGAGATCTGCTGCAGAGTTACTTGATCCAGTTCCTCTCTGCTGCTGATCCTGGGGTGTTCTCTCTGGTTTGGGCTCTGCCTTGCTGCTTGCACACAGAGAACATGGCATTTCCATCCCACAGGCCTGCCACAGAACCATGATGTCACTTTAAACAAGGAATGGTGATGATAAGATTCCCTCTGCATTTGTGAATCACAGCTTTCCCGTGGCTGGATAAGTGTGGCATGTGATGTTTTACTGTTAAACCCGGGCTGCCCTGACTGATAGTCTGGATCCAGCCCAGCCCAGCTGTTGTGCTGATTTGAGGAGTTTTAGTTAATTCCACTGTGGAACCAATTATCACCCTGACCTACTTGACCTTGTGATGACGACTGTATTAAATTTTCATCCCTAAAAGCTATCCTGTATCTGTCATGTTTGCCTGAAGTTCTGTGGCTTTCCTCCATTTATTTTATTTCCCTCTTTCTCCTGCTGCTCTGACTGAAAATGTCCTGAGAGCTGCCCAGCAGTGCCAGTAGGGCCTGGCCAAGGCTCAGCAGGCACACTGCTGCCCAAATCATGGCTGATTTGATTTTGGTGTTCCTGAGCCTGGCGTGCCCTGGCCGTGCACAGCAAATGGGAACAAACACAACTGTGGCCACATTTCTCTTCACAGAGAAGAGAAAGGCACAATTTCCCAAGGATATTTCTGGGATTCGTATTCTCTGAACTTCAGAGGAAGAAAAGTAATTCTTATCTGAATTGCTGCTCCTCTTCACAGAGAAAAGCAAGGCACAATTTCCCAAGAATATTTCTGTGTTTCACATTCTCTGAACCTCACAGAAAGAAAAAACAGTTCTTATCTCAATTGCTGCTCGTCTTGTTGTGGACAAGTAGAATGCATTGTGGAAGGTTGTTTACCTAAGGGGAATTGGTAATTGGATTTGGATGTGAGTGTTTTGATTCACTGACCAGTTAAATCCAGGTGTGTGTGTCAGGACTGTCAGCTGACAGTCATGAGATGCTGTGCAGTGGAGATGAGTTGGGTGCTTGTGCAGATTCAGTTTAGATGTAGTGTAATATAGTATAGAATAATACAGTATAATAAAGTAATTATTAGCCTTCTGATATCCATGGAGTCAGATGCATCACTTTCTCCCACACGTCGGGGTTGCCCTGCCTTTACTGTGCACAACTTGCTCTGAGATCTGTGAAACCTCCTGTCATTGGAACTGATCTGGAAGAGAAAGCAGCTGCGTGGTTTCAAACATCCTCTGAGACTTCTGGAATTCTGACCTGTCGCCATCATACTTTCTGAAAAATCCCTTTGCCCAGGATTCTTCTCCTGGGAAGCTGAGAAGCCTCAGAGAAAAATGAAAACAATAATTATCTGATTTGCTTGTCCTGTGTTTTGCTGCTTTGGAATGTGGTTTGGACATTGTTTACCAACAGGTGATTGTTTCATTGGTTTCACGTGAATTCTTTTGGCTCATTGGCCCATCAGGGCCAAGCTGTGTTGGACTCTGGAAAGAGTCACGAGTTTTCATTGTATCTTTTAGCATTCTGTCTGTATCCTTTCTGTATTCTTTAGTGTAGTTTAGTATAGTTGAGTATAGTATTCTTTAATTATTTTTCAGTAAATAAATATAATTCTGACAGTAATCAAAGCAGTTGCATGAGTGCGACATACTGCAAATTCATTTGAAGAGGAAATTCCTTGCTAATATGAAAAGATCACTGCAGCAATTTGGCAGGAAAACCTGTACCAAGTGAATACAGCACCTACACAAATTCCATTTCACTTGTAGCAAGCACAAAAAAACCCAAGGTTTTTTTTTTGTACAACTGTCTTTCTGTAAAAGAAATCAGTCTTACACAGGTTGAGACCTCCTGAGAACTGCTGTTTTCAGAGCATCTGAGTCAAGCTCCTCAAAAAAAAAGGGCACAGGTGACCATAAGCAACTCTACCTTTTACAATTTCAGTCCAGCTGAAACATAAATTCTCAACTGGCAGCATTTAAAATATTTCTGTGCTGGAGTGATGGGATGGAATATCAGATCTGGATAAGGGAGGAAATAAAAAGAGAATATATTAAAAAATAAAGAGAGCAAAGAACACTCCAAAAGAAAACTCTTGTCCTGAGCATTTCTACATGCTACAGTCCTTGGCTTGAGAGAAAACTTGCCATGGTAACATTTGCCCAGGATCCCAGACATGGAAAGGAGCTCACTCCTTCATTCCCAGCAGCATGGATCATTCCCTCTGCCGTGGATCAGAGCTGACCCTGGGCACTGTGAGCTCTATTCCTCTTTCCCTGATGCTTTCACTTTGCTTCAAAACACACAGAATGCAAACAGCAAAGGACCTGCAGCACACCAAGGCACTTGGAGGATATTCCTTGGTATGAGAATCAGTGTACTGTGAGGATTTTGAGACTCATTATACAATAAGGAGAAATAAAGATGCTCCTCTCCATGTAGCCATGGGTACTGGAATCTAGGTCATGTTCTCAAACCAAAGAGATAAGATGGGAATTTGCTGCTTGCTTTATTCTGTGGCAGCCCAACAGGCTTCTGTGGCCTCGAGTTTTTAGAGAATTGTTAGTGTTTGGAATAACAGATGCCAACAGATGAAATACAGCAACACAGACCAGGGGGCAGGGCTGGGGGCTCACTGGGGAGCTTCAGCCACACTTTGTGTGCCCCACCTCTTCCAAAAGACAGGAGAGAGCTGAGCTCTCCTACCCACACACAGGCAGCCCCCAAAGCTGTGCTGGAGCAGCCAGGGCAGGCTGCAGAGCTGGGTGGAAGCACAGGACAGTGACTGAGGGAAAGGATTGTAGGGCAGTGATGAGGGAAGGGAATGTTGGTCAGTTCTGTTGCGTGGATGTTTCTCTTCACTGAGTCGTGGCACTGTTGAAAAACCCAGCACAGCCAAACAGAAGCTTTTGAATTTAGAACAACCTGTTCATTTGGTACAGTCAACAGTAAGAGCAGCAGTTCTGTCTCTGGTGGCACAAGGAATTTCTCCTTCTAAAGCTGATGCAGTGGTTGTTGCACCAGAGCTTCCAACTCTTCACCTGAAAATACCATCACTTGCAGAAAACACACTTGCTCAAGATGAGAAATGGACAAACCCATTTCATCTGCTTCCTTCCACAGACACAGCCCTGGCTTTGCATTATTGACAAGTAGGCTGTTCTTGTGGCAGAGGAGCCCTGATGCTCTGTACCCCTCGTGTCCTGTTCCATCAGTGCCAGCAATAGATCCATCTTTGTTCTTTCCTTGGGCAGGAAGTGATTCCAGGGCATTAAACACCCTCTGCATGAACAATGAGCTACAGAATGGTTTCTAGAAGGTGATCAGTATGAATTATGGGGTGTAGGTTTTTCCTTTGTGTGGCTCTGTTGCATCTAGACTGGCTCAAAGAAATCCCTGTCCCCACACACAACCTCTCAAGGACAGGAGGTAACATTTAACCTTAGAGCTCTGCTTTCTCACACTTTTACTTCAATGGTATTAATTTTTATCCTTTGTTTGTGGGGTTTCCTGTATTTTTTAAAATATTTATTCTATAGAATGTATTCCTTTAAAAGACCAGCCGGGATTCTTGTAAAGGGCATCTCAAAGCAGCTTGGTATTTAGTGCTTGGCTGCAGCAAGAGAGCCTTTGATGACAGTTATATATATCCACCTCATTGCTCCCACATCATATTCAAGGAGTGGCTTCTTCATCCCAAACAAAACTGTAAATGAAATAACAAGTGTGAGTGTGCTATAAATACACAGCTTGGGTTATTTTGGTCAGGGCCATCCCATTATCTGTAATGACTCCAGCTGTCCCAAGGACAATGTCACACACCCTGCATCCTTCTGCTATGTCATCAAAAGGAGCAGATGCATTGCACTGGTGCTGATTGCTTTGAGGTGCCAGGCAAGGCACAGGTGCTGGATTCTGCACAGGCTTGTCTCAACTCTGGGAAAATAAGGATGGAAATACAGGTAGGTACCCTGAGGAATAGATTGTCTAAGTAACATGGGGAGTGTGAAAATGCTGGAATTCCAGAATCACAATGTTAAAAGGAGAGGTAAGGTTTTTAAAAAGAAGGAAAAAAAAAAGTGTATTCATAAAGAAGTGATGCAGGAGGG